CTGGGCTTACCAAACTACAGCTCGGACTCCTACTGGGGAAACCCATTTCCGCTTAACATACGGCGCTGAGGCGGTTATTCCAGTAGAAGTCGGTCTGCCTACTCCCAGGGTTTTACATTCGGATCCAGCACAAACGGAAGAGCTCCATTGGGCAGACCTGGACCTAATCGAAGAACTCAGAGAGACCACCGCTGTCAGACTGGCCTCATACCAACAGAAAATGAGAACACACTATAACCGGAAAGTCTGACCAAGGGAGCTCGCTGTAGGGGACCTTGTCTTGAGAGAAGTAACTCTTGCCACCAAAAATCTGACTGAGGGTAAACTAGCAACCAAATGGGAGGGACCTTACGTTGTGAAAGCCCAACCACGTCCGGGCACCTACCGACTTCAAGACATGGAAGGTCAAGACCTCCCCCACCCATGGAACGCCGAACACCTGAAACGTTACTTTTAATAAGCTCCTACTTTTGTATCGCTCAGTTATTGTGTTTTCTTTTCGGCAAATTTACACATTCTTGATATCTCCTTACGCAATGTAACTTTTTAATTAACTGGGTTACACTTCCCCTGTCATCCATTATATATTTCAGTTATCTGTATGGTGTCTCCATGACGTTTTTATTGCAGCACTCACAAAAAGCCTCAGCCAGACCGAGCATCATAAAGCCTCAGCCTGACTGAGCATCATAAAGCCTCAGCCAGACTGAGCACCAAAAAGCCTCAGCCAAACTGAGCATCCTAAAGCCTCAGCCAGACTGAGCACTAAAAAGCCTCAACCAGACAGAGCATCATAAAGCCTCAGCCAAACTGAGCATCATAAAGCCTCAGCTAGACTGAGCATGAAGCACTCAGCCAGACCAAGCCTCAGCCAGCCTAAGCATAACAAGTCTCAGCCGGACCGAGCGCCACAATTTCAGGTTCAGACTGAGTTCCTTACGACGTCAATGAATCATAGCTTAGCCCCAACTGAGCACGCATACAGGGCTCGGTCAAACCATCTATGCAAACTTCATGCTTGTAGAATTAGTAGACACACTAAGTCACAGTTCCAGGTTCAAGTCTTTACACCACTCTTTGCTTAGCCAAATTCCAAAGACGTTCGTATACGTTTTCTTTACAAGTCATATTATTTTCTTCTCAATCAAACTCTTACAAGTCAGCCTGTTTCCTTACAAGCCAAGCCTCACTCCAATAAACCACTAATCTACTTCAGCAGTGTGGCAAACACAAACTTATAATTTTATTACATTTTAAATTTCACTCTGCATTGAGGAGTTCCTAACTTTACTCTGCAGGAGTCTTTATTACATTTTAAATTTCATTATGCATTGAGGAGTTCCTAACTTTACTCTGCATTGAGTCTTTATTACAAGTTGAATTTCACTCTGCATTGAGGAGTTCCTAACTTTACTCTGCATTGATTTTTTATTACAAGTTCAATTTCACTTTGCATTAAGGGGTTCTTAACTCCACTCTGCATTGAGTTCTTATTACAATTCCAACTTCACTCTACACTGAGGAGTTCTTAAATTTAGTTTTTATTACAAGTTTAACTTCACTTTGCACTTCACAATGAGTTATACACCCGTTTCGCACAAGCACAAACAATCAAACAAAAACATAATTGCAATTTTATTTATTCAGAAATTTGTACATGAGTTCATTACAAAAAAAAAAAAAAAAAAACTCTTAGGTACAAACTTTCTTCTCTTCAGTCATTCTTCCTCACTGGAGACCAGGTCTTCTTCTTCAATACCCTCATCCAAGGGGGTCTGGGCCACATCATCTTCACCAATTGTTACACTACTGAGGTCTAAGTCTGGGAACAGTTCTTCAGCCCTACGTTTGAACATTTTAAGCCACTGTCCCAGAACTCAGCCATTTCGTGTTTATAGAAGTCTGACTGTTGTAAGCTCTCAATCACTTCCGCTTCAGTTCTGCCCCCAGCGGTCGTCCTTGATGGGCCCGCCCCCCTAGACTCCTCCCTCGCCAAGCTGCTGGCGACTGCGGTATTCACTACCATCTGAAACTCAGCAGACCCCTTGAATTGATCCACTGCTGCCACATATAGATCGGGTAAGCCGCCCTTTCAGAGGTTGCCTTTGCCCTCTCTTTGTCCAACTCCTTCTGCAGGGTCGCCATTTCAGAGGTTACCTTAGCGCTCTCTTCCTCCCACTCCTTCTTCAAGGTCTCCCTCTCAGCAGTCACCCTGGCTCTCTCTGCCTCCAACTCCTTCTGAAGGCTCTCCCTCTCTTCCAGTGCCTTTGCACGCTCGCGCAACTAGCTCCTTCTGTAGATCGCTAACCTTCACGTCTGCCTCATCCTTCTGCCTGACCAGCTCTTCATTACTGCTCATCGCCTCTTCATGTCGTTCGATCGCGACCTCGCAGGCTTTTTGGGCCTCATCCAGCCTCTTCTACTCGCCAGCCAGTTATAACTCGAGCGACACAACCTGACGGCGTGTGTTCTCCAGCTCCACTTTGACCGTTTTTAGCTCAGCGTGGGCACTCTCCTAGTCTGCGCTCTCCTTCTTCAACCTTGCAAGTTGAGCCTTGGCCTCATCTGCCTTGAGCTTTGCAGCACCAACCTTCCTCAGCAGAGCCCCTGCTAAGGTGGTTACCTCCATTTGAGCAGAGCATAACCCTCTCAGCAGTTCAGCCTCATTAAAATCAGGCTGCTGAGTGCAAGGCTGCCTTATCTACAATCCCCACAAGGCGGTCTGCCCCTGCTCTGGCTGGGCTTTCTTCTCCCTCCAGCCGCCCAGCCATCGCACGAGCATGGTAGATCGCAGTAGTCAGACTGACTCCCCCTCCTTGGGGTGCAGGAGCCCCCTAGGGCTGTTCTTCCCCCCTTGGCTCAAGGCCAGTCGCCTCACCTTCTACTTGCACTTTAGGGGCGACCCTCGCGACCCCCGTTGCGATCGCCGCCGCTACTGGAACAACTTCGATGCCCTCTGAGGCAATGTCCACCACTTCTGGGGCAATCACTCTTCCTGGGGTCCCCTTCACTTCCCCCCCTCTACCCTCACTTCCCTCTTTCTCTTCTGGGCGGGCTCTTCCTCACTCCTCCTTACTCTCATTTTCTTCTTCACTACGCCCAACACCTCCATCTCCTTCAACGACCTCTCCTTCAGAGGATCTATTGGGGGCGGTCGTGGCACAAATTCACCCAAGTCTTTTTCCCCCAAGGGTTTGGGTCGCAGTCGGATCCTCTCTCTTGCAACTGGCTTTGGTGGTCGGTCTGCCTAAGACTCTTTGAATTTTTGGGCTTTGGAAAGGATGGCCTAATCCTCCGCCTCTTGAGCCTTCCTCCTTGCCTCCAACTCCATTCGGTTGAGGTCCCCGCCACTCGGCGGTGGACCCAGCCCTGCCTCAAACAAAGCCAATGGCTGAACGAGCTCGTCCCACCTGGCCCCTTCCTTCTCCCTCCATTCCTTTACCCTCTTTACCCACTTTTCTGCCGCTGCTCCCAGCCTTGGCTCCACAGACTTGGTGGGTACTTTCCAAATGGTGCGCACTCCAACCCCCCCACTGGTAGATACATAGAACCACTGTGGTCTCCATCCCTTGATCGATGACGGCAGCCCCGCTACCAGCCCTTTCCTTGCCGCTGCCTACAGAGTGACCCACGTCTCTTGCTGCCCTGAGGCCTTGTAACATGCGAAAAATTCGTCCACTGTCATGGCCGCCCGTCGTTCGCCTTCGGCTACGCACTTGCACAGGCCAGTAAGATCTTCCACGCATTGGGCATTAGTTGGTCTGGCGCTACCTCCAAACGATTCAGGACATCTACCACCACTTGCGGCGGGGATAGCCTCAGTCCTCCATTCAACCCGTGTATAGTTATTGCAGTAGCCTTTTTAATTTCTCCTGTACACTATGGTTAGTGATAAAATTGTTAAATTATTTTTATAAAAAATCTTAAAAAAACGTAATTTATATATTAAAAAAAATTTAAAAAAATATAAATATCTATAATTATCCCGTACATAGTACGGGTGATAGGCTAGTACTCAATAACACAAATACTAAAAGTTAAACTCATGACTAAAATGTGTACCTTAACCCATGTTAATGTGCTCTTTATATGTAAGTGCCTTGAGTTTCTCTTTTCATTTAGGGATGCACACTTCCTTATCTACGACTCGTCTTTCTAATGGATTAGGGTTTCTCTCCTAGGAAATCCTTTCTTATCCAACTTAGGTGATCTCCTTATTCCATTGAGATTACTTAACCTAGGAGACATAGGATGATCAAGATTTGGCTTCTGCCATAACGTTAGCTATTACTATCTTGTCACATAGCACCTTGGTTTGCGGTCACGCAATATAGCCAAGCTTTTGAAGCCACGTGATCATGCTAGGAAATATGTCACGTCTCAAATTTTAACTACGTGAAAACATTATTAAAATTTATAATTTATGTCTATTTTTTTTTTATAACAAATATTCGTTACCCTTAAATAATAAAAATATAATAATACATATTTTCTTTCTCAATGAATACAATAATAACAATAATAAATGTCAAGTTTCTGCTGCGAAACTACAAATAAATAATTGCAAACAACAAGATACATTATTCATTCCTTGCACATCTATGATGGAATTATACATAAAAGATACATGGACTCCGTAACTCTTCGACTAATCAATCCGAAATTTCTCTTCCTGAAAAAGAATAAAACAACGAGGGGTGAATACTAATGCCCAGTAGGAACACTACAGGAATTATAGGTTTTGAAGACGTTTATTTAACGGCGTTTTATGAAACGCCACATTTTATACTATTTAACGGCGTTTTTTAACCGTCGTTTTTGTTTAATGTTAAAACGACACCGTTTCACTATTTGAAGGCGTTGAAAAGCGCCTTCAAATGGCCTCTCTCTGGCTACCTAGTTAATACACTTGTTCACTCATCAGGGGATGCCCTAATCTTTTACTCACTCATCAGTCTATCGTTCGTTCTCTCTCTCTCGCTCTCTCTCTCTAAACAGATGCCCTATTCTAATCTCTCCCAGCAGAATGCCCTAATCTCTTCCAGCAGAAATCAACGGATCAATTTCGATTTTGATTTCGATTCATCTGAATCCTTACGCCTTCTCTGATTTCGATTTCATCTGAATCTCTGATTTTGATTTCGATCTCGAAGCTCCACCGCCGCCACCATCTACACCAACGAGGTAGGTGAGTTCTCTCTCTCTCTCTCTCTCTGTGTCAACCCTCTCTAAAAGCTTATCATTCACAGAGATTCAGATCGATCTCAGTGATTTCATCTCAGAGCGGTTTCGATTTCGAAGCTCCAAAACACCATCTGCACCATCGTCTACTAAGGTGAGCTCCATCGTCTCTCTGTCTCTCTCTGAAACTCTTCATTTCGAAGCCTATTTCAGTGCTGTAATGGAAACATATCTCTCAATTCATTATTATCGTTCGTTCTCTCTCTCTCGCTCTCTCTGTCTCTCTCAATTCACTATTTGTGCTTGGAATGCATGAGAATGGCAGTGGAGAACTTAACTAGGTGACCTGCCCCAACCCAACACATATCTATTTACATATATAGTTATGGTCTGGTTAATATTACTTTTTCAGAACCAGGATTGGCTCATGGTCTGGGCTGTGATGTGGATGCTTTTCAATATGATCAAGTTTCGTAAGCCTTGCACGACTTGAGATAACATGATGGTAGCAAAGCAAAGCAACAACTTTGATCCTCGTGCTGCTGCTGCTAATTTCCCTTCAGGTAATGGACTTTCTAATTTTACCATCAGATTCTCAAGTATTCATCACTGTTGTTTAGCTGGCTCTCGGATGTGCTTACAGCTTGAAAGTGCAAATAACATTTTAAAAAATTGGACATGTCAGGTGTGCAAGCATATTTGGCTGGGCTTACATTCGCATTAGCCGTTTCACCTTGCAGCACTGCTGTGCTGGCAACCCTGCTTGGATATGTAGCTGCATCCAAGGTACTTTTAAATGTTTATTGATTTCAATTTCCATCTGAATTATTACCTTTTCAGAATGCTTTATACTGATCGTCTAATCCAATTTTTTCTATCATCTCTTTTTGTTGATGTGGTCATCTAGGGTGATGCTTGATGGTGGTAGACTCTCCATTAGCAGGTAGTAATAACTCTTAAGGTGCATGGTTCTTTTGTGATGCGCTTGTTTTATTAATAACTCTGCGAGTGCATGGTTATTTTGTTGATGCAATTGTTGCAGTAAGATATTTATGATAAAGATGTGCTGATGTTTTTGTAATTTTAAAAAAAAGAGTATAAATGGGAATATTAGGATGCATAATTTACAAATTTCATTTCCAGTTTTCTTTGGTTTTGTGGTAGTAAAATTGGAACATAATATGTAACTCTGAATCATATGATATCCTACTATATTGCCACTCAATTTCGACAGATATCTACTAATCTTGCAAGAAATAGTTGAGTTTTTGTAATGTTGATTGTTGTGAAATTTTCTATTTCATTGTGTACTTTTGTACTAATAGATAAATTGCAATGACTAAAATCATTGTGTTGGGTCTAAAATTTTTGTACCTTTTCTGAAAAATTGGATAATTTTGCTGAGGTCTAATTTCTTTTCATCTTTTTAAAGTTAAGGTGGTTGTATAGCATATTGTCTGATTGCCAATTTTGACTGTGGTTACTACCATAGGGCCTTGAAGATAAAGCTTGGCGAACAAAGCAAAGTAGTGTTCAACTTCTTGGTGCTATGGCTTACTGCGCTCCACAGCAACTTTCTCAATGCCTTCCTAAGATTGTGCCAAAATTGACAGAGGTATATCTTAATGAATTATGACCTTATGGCTTCCTAGTTTTGATTTGACTGGTAACTTCATCGTCTTTGAGGAGACATAAATTCTCTATGATTGCAGGTGCTAACAGACACCCATCCTAAAGTTCAGTCAGCGGGGCAAACAGCCCTTCAGCAGGTCGTACTTTGTGTTATTAGTTTAGTGCTCATTCACTTTTGCGTACTTGTGTAGTTTTTTTGTGCTCTTGTAATCACGTCTTTGTTTTATTTCTAGGTTGGGAATGTGATTAAAAATCCAGAAATTGCTGCTCTTGTCCCAACACTTCTAATGGGCCTTACAGACCCCAATGACTACACGAAGCATTCCCTTGATATTCTTCTCCAAGTAAGGATGTGAACTTTACTATTAATTGTTATGATTTATGCATCTGTTCCTTTTTTTCCCCCTTAAAATAAAATAGCTTTAAATGTGTTTCATTGGTTGCAGACAACATTTATCAATTCGATTGATGCTCCTTCACTCGCACTGTTGGTACCAATAGTTCATAGAGGGCTAAGAGAGAGGAGTGCTGAAACTAAAAAGAAAGCTGCCCAGATAGTTGGAAACATGTGCTCTTGAGTGACTGAACCGAAGGATATGATTCCTTACATAGGTTTACTCCTTCCTGAAGTAAAAAAGGTACCATTTTACACTCTAGAATCTTACATGTTGACCCAACGGATATATATCTTATAGGCATTTTGCTTCCTGTACATGGTTTTCTATCTGTAAGACATTTTTTTTTATAGAAGAATGGCAAATTTACTATCTTTCCATGTTCCTGATGAAACAGGTTCTTGTGGATCCAATCCCTGAAGTTCGGTCTGTTGCTGCAAGGGCCCTTGGTTCTCTCATAAGAGGAATGGGAGAAGAAAACTTCCCAGATCTTGTTTCATGGTTGTTAGAGACACTCAAGTCTGATGGTAGTAACGTTGAACGCTCTGGAGCTGCTCAAGGACTAAGTGAGGTTAGAGTTTACTATTTGTGTTTGATTTTTCTTTTCGTTGTTTTTCTTTTTATTCTAACTCTTTTTTGATTTTTTTTATATTAATCATCAGCATCTAATTGGTTCATGTCTAAGTTTTTCATATAATTTCGCATCATCCACCAACTTGAGTGACCTTGATTTTGTTCGAATAATAGCAGTCGTATTTTTGCTTTATACTGATCGTTCTGGGCCTATAATGATGGCTTAGCACTCTTATCTCTATCTCTCATGTTTGGATGCATCATATATGCTATACATTGCATTTGAGCTTCTAAACCTATTATTTAATTACATAACAAGCAGGTCAACTTAGTATGACTGCATTTATCTTAACATTCACAGTTGAGGGAGCAAAATTGGCACAATATTGGTGGGGCCAATATTTGTAATTTTATAGGAAACCCAGTTTACAAGCAGCTCTATTTTTTTTATTTACTATACTTGTTTATTTGCTACTATAGTTGAATCATCTTCTTGGTTAGTTTTGTGGTAAATTGGTAAAACATTTAGGATGATGAATTTTTAACTGATCTGATTTCTATGCCAAATCATCATCTAGGGCAAGGGGCATCGTGTTATGACAGTTTCCCCACGTTACGACCAGTACAAAGATGCATGGGATACTCATGTTCTTCTTCTAGTGAAAAGAATAAGAATATGGAATTTGTTGTATTCTTTATCTGCTTGAATTTGTTGTTTAGAGATCTCAATACTCTGTTCTCTTTCTCTGCCTTCTTGGTGACAAGGTACTGTTTAATGAGTCAATAGAGTTCAGTTGATGTATTCCAACTTGTGAAGAGTTTAGTTGCTGTGTGGTTGACAGAGATTTTGAAATTTTTAAAGGAATTTACTTAATAAAAGAGCATCAGTACCTAAAAATATTAGCGTAGCTATACACTTTCATGTGTTCACCAACAATAATGTTATATATATTATCAATGCAACAATACCCCTCATACTAATAACCATAATTCCCAACAAATTTATATTGCCTGTCCAGTTATATATGTGTATGTGTGCGAGTAAGTGTAGATACGTACATTTGTTCACTTGTCTGCAACTATGACTGATGTTTTTATTGTCCTGTGTTTTTAAACTTTTCTTGGCTTTAAAATTTTTCAGATATCAGGTGGTTGGAGACACACCATGGCACTGACATCTGATGGAAAACTTTACGGTTGGGGTTGGAATAAGGTTGATGACTTAATTCTCCTTTATTTTTTTTAATTGAATGCTACTGCATCTCTATATCATGAAAAAGTTTGCTAGTTTGATAACAAACAGAAGAAGGTATTGCTATCTCCATCAACCAATTCGAACTTTCTTTTTCTTGTACAGTTTGGACAGGTTGGTGTTGGTGACAATGTTAACATGAGACAATAAGGCATAAACTTGGGTTTAACCTGCAATTAATGAGAACCAGCATTGGGGAATGCCTTGCACATAAATGGAAGAAGGACCTTGTTTACTTGATTGTTTAAACTTCGATTGTTGCCTTAAGTTAAGAGGACTCATGAATTAACCCAAAGCATTTTCTAGTATTTGTTAGCCAAAAAACATCCTTAAAATATAGTAGTTTTGCCCAAACACATAAAACACTTGGTCATTATTACTCAGTCTCTTGTTCTTAGTAGCAAGAAGTATGCAAATCAGATGGCACCTGAAACATTGAGTTGTAGTCTCACAAAATGAGACACACATCATTATCAAATGTAACATAATTATCCTTTCGGCCTGATTATTTATCATTGTGGGTATATCATATTCTACCCGGATTGTGTTTACAACCTGCACGACCTGATTAATCTGTTAGGTCTGAACCGTTTCTTGCTGTATTCTGATCTTAGTATATATTATCTGTTATTATGGGGATTAGGGATATGAGATTGGAGTGAGTTCTTCTTACAAACAGCTTTAAGAGTGAAGCAACTGCTCTTGAAACCCCCATTCTTTGCTCCTGGACTTAGGGTTGTAGATGAACTACGTATATCTCATTTTCGTTTGTTCTATCATAACACTTGTGTATTATTTTCAGTTGCTTTAAAAGAACAAGTAACTAAGAGATTTTTTATTTTTTTGAACATCAGAATCCAAGAACTTAGAACATAACTGTGTTTGTTTCGGAAAAAAAATAACATTCTTCAAAAAATTATATGTTAGTGGTGGTGGTGGGTCAAATTTGAAAAATGTTTTCCACCAAAGAAGCTTGTTTTCCGTTGATCACGAAACACATTTTCCGATACCAAACATCAAAAAATGTTTTCTAGGAAAAAAAAAATGCTTAAAAAACAGAGCATAAGACTTAGTATTAGAACATTGTGTAGACACCCCATTTTTGACCGTCCTCAAGACTTGGACGTCACCGTTTGAACACTCGGTGATCATCCATGTATGTGTTCGTTTAGAGTTCCCGGAGGTCTCGGCTCGCGTGCCCTGCCTCAGGATCTCCGAACTCAACCGTTTAGTGCCTGGTTTTGCACCAAACACTTGCATCTTGCCTTTGAGAGGCAAGGAATGCCTTATGAGGCATCCCCACACACCACCGGCAGTGGCTGGAGGCCACCGGCTGGTCTTTTTCTTCCATCGGCACCTTTGTTTGCCGGTCGGCACACTTTATTGCCGGTCGGCATAGTTTGTTGCCGGTCGGCACTGTTTTTTGTCGAAATGACATTTTTGGGCAGCCGACCACTGTTCATCCACTTTATGGAGATATTTTGTGCCAGCTGTGATAGCTGGCACCAACTCTTCCCCCCTCCATACACGTGTATGGAGGGATCTCCCTCTAAGCAAGCTTGTTGAATAAGCTTTGCAAGAGGGAGTCTTATAAGAGGAGGGGTTCTTCCTCTTTTTTGGATCTAGGTTAGCTTCTTGCAACCAAAACCAGACCTTGAGATATAGATACATATTATCTCTATACCTCCCCCTCTCTCCTCCTTTGTGTGTGTTTCTTAGCTCAAAAGGTGGGTTTACCTTACTTTTTCACCATTACACACACCATTACACCTTACTCTGAGATTGAGGGACTTGGGGGGTTGTTTCTTGAGTTTTTGGACTGGTTTTGATCCAAAGAAGGAGGCTAGACCATTGTTCTTCAAAGGTTCTTCAAGGGTGAGCATTTTGATTTATATTCCCCAAACTTGCAATAGTTTTTACCTATCTATTGCTGTTTAGCTCTTGTGTATAACATAAAAAGGGCTTGTTATTTTCCTGCTCTAGCACTTTCATTAAAGTCATTTTGTTTGTTTGAGTGCAAACTCCCCCTTCTAAGCCTTGTTTGATCCATTTTGGTGCCTCTTTCATAAGGCTTTGTCCACTTCAGTGTTTTGGTCCTTTGACCACTGAAATCTAGAGGATTTTTAGTGGTGAAGAAGATGGTTTGAAGTCTTGCATAGGGGAGGGAGACCCCTCTCCCTTCATGGTTTGTTTCCACGCTTTTTGGGCCCAAAAAGGTAGCATGTGTACTTGATGATCCTTGGCCTCATTTCAGATTTTTTTTAGGTATTTTAGGTCATATATAACCTCTGTTTTTGGTTGGATTTGTGCCTCCTTGTATGCTTGTAATACTTGTTTTGTATTGCTCCATTTTGCTTAGAAATACACCTCATGATTAGGCCATGATTCTTGTGTATGTTGGCTTAGTTCCTTGAAGCTTTTAGTATTGTTTTTCCATGCTTAAAGTTTGTTGGTTATCCTTTTGATCATGCTTGACATGTTTGTTAGGGTTGTTTTGTATTTTGGCTTGAAAGCTTTGAGCATGTTGGCTTCTAGCATGCATGTTTGTGATTATCCTCATGATTTTAACATCACCAAGGACCACATTTTAGCCCAAGAATCATGTTTGTATGTGTGCATGCATGACCTCTTTCATGCCTTGAGGGTGTGTCCTCTTATGCCTAGGAGTGGCCCTTAGTGCATTTGTTTCATGGGAGGTACTTTAGCTGTCATATTAGGAGGTTTTTGGGGTCCCATTTTGCATGTAAAAATTCTGTTTTTACTTGTTTTAATCATGCCATGAGTAGTCATGTTGATGAAAGTGAAATGTTTCCCTTTTATGCCTTAACCATAGGACTTTTGGCTTGCGTGTTGGCATGAACATTAGCCCATCTATCGGACACTTTTGGCCACTGTTTTGAGGAGGGTGAGGGTCTGCCCCCTTGCCATTTTAAGCCATCTTTGCATGATTGCTTCGTGATTGATGCATGGTTGCTTCATATGTTGTTGTAGCATGATAATTCTATTGCTCAAAGTGTCCGTGTTTACATCACATTTGTGTCTTGAATGTCTAATATTGCATGCATGCCATACTAGTTGCATGATTCTTGGCATACCTTGCACGTTGATATCATGTTGCATTTTGAGCCATATTTTGCATAACATGCATTGCATTACTTGGTTTGGGGTGTCAAACCAAGTGTGAGAGTTGAGGGGCGTTCATACCACAAGTGATGTAACGCGTCTTAACTTTCGGTCCCCGAGGCCTTTGACTTCGCCATGATAAGGTTTCGGAGTTCATTGTGTTTGTTGCATACATCCTTACATTAAATGGCAAATTTGATCCCTTGAGTCATCATGCACCATTGATGGCTCAAAGATTGAAGGTCATGCTTCTTTGAGTTCAAAACATGATAGGAAGTATGACCATGCTTACATGTGTCCAAAAACTCCATGCCATGCACTGTCTGTTCTCTGTTTGTTGTCAAATTGTCGTCTGCAGGAAGTTTCTGCCGACCGGCAAAATTTAGTGCCGACCGGCACTATCTGGAGTGCCGAGGAATCCAACAAATGCCGATGGGAATTGTGAAGTGCCGGTGGTAATTCTGTCCGGCCGGTGGTGCTCTGCAGGATGCAAGGAACTTGCTCCAGTACTTTGGCAATTTTTAGAAAGACAAGGCAGTACAAACAGAGGCGGCAGGAGTACAGTACGGGTTTTTCGGGCGAGACGGATTCGAGCATGCACCATTCGCGCATCCCGAGGCAGAGGCTGCGGCTACCCTCCTC